GTATTGTGTAACATCACACTGTTGTTGTCATGGACTGACCAATCAGCATCCAGAAGACGAGTCTGCTTGAAGATGCATTGCACTGGTAGCTCTAGCCCAACTGAGACTGTGTTAAAAACTGCATCCAAATCTTATTGATGGAGCTTTACTAATGGGGCTTTGCTAATTGGAAAGACCTGGACTTACACTGACACTAGAGGGAGCCCTCTGGAGCCTGACTTCAAACAGCGCATGATAACCACACATACCCTTGCTCTGAGCAGTACTGGTAGAACTTCTTGCAGGTAGCCTGGAGAAGCCGCAGACCCCCCAAGTAGCCCTCCTTGCGGCTGATACCGTGGAGATCTCCCAGGCTACCAAACTCGGTGGGGTCATTTAATGGATGAGGTACCAGGATCTGGAAGACGGTCATTGAGTGTTTTTATGATCCTCCATGACTATTCAGAGACTTCAAATGCATGTGCATTTGTGTTGTAGGTTTGAGGGCACTGTGTACACAGCTGGCTTGTCCAAAAGGTCACCGGAGTTTGACCATGTGCAGTCACTGCACTTTAGCCATGAGTCCAAGTTAATGAGGCAGCCTCAGTATGAACGTAGTTGAAAGAAGGCCCAATCTCAACAACCTGCTATGAGTTCAAAAGAAAAACTGAATATTTTGAAGGAGTTGCAAAGGAAATCAATTAATTTGCCCAGGCCAAAATGGTGGAGTCGGGCCTTTCTTTTAAAGAGGTATTCAATTGTTAAGTGAATGAGGCAGGAATCGTGAACAACCAAATGTGACAACTGCGGTTAAACTGGACTTCCAGTACATAATGTAAAAACGCAGTGTGCTTGCAGATAAAATAACACTGACTGTATTTATAGCGTCAGGTCACCAGAGGACACAAGGCGCTTCTTTTTGTGATATCGGCTCATTGGGATTTCCTCACAAACATTCCTAAAAACCATCACAGCACCCTGGGGAGTGTACAGCTTGATGCAACACAACAGAGCAGGGCATGACCACTTTTGTTTAAAAAAGAATTCCAACCCAGATAGAGTGACATTTGTAGGGAATTATAAATAATTTGATCTGAATAACTCACCAGTCGCTCGCTTTCTTTGATGGTGACTTCTGCCCAGAAGTTGGCGATGGACAGTGATATGGTTTTGCCGTAGAAACCGTCGGAAGGATTACCCATCAAACCCACTCTAAAAAATAATAAAAAAGAACGAATAAAAACTCTCAACAAAAATAAGGCTTTTTCTGTAGTTTCCCCCAAAATGGAATCCGCTGAGGGAAACATTCTAATAGAGAGAGAGGCCAGATTTCCACTGCCTTTTCGTTGTTGACATTTCAACACCTTGCCCAGCTTGTTATTATCCAAATCTCTTCATCAAACAATTACTTGTAATCCGTAATCAAAAACCAACAAACTGTAGGGTTTGCCTGCAACTGTTTGCCAGCACTGAAGCATGAAACTGTAGGTAGTGTTCTTGACTTTGCTATGGTCTTTTTTTCAAGATTTGAAGTTTGCAGAGATTGGTAACACAAAATGCACACTGTGAAGAGTGTTGACACAAGATAAACTGTGCAAACTAATAACAAATCCAAAAAGGCAGAGCTCCCTAACTGGGAAACTGTTGAACTGAATAGAGCGGAGTGGAATGGAGTGGAGAGGACTGGAGGGGAGTGGGGTGGGGTAAGGTGGGGTGGAGTGGAAAGGAAGGGAGTGGAATGGAGTAGAATGGAATGGAGTGGAGTGGAATGGAGGGGAATGGAGTGGAATGGAATGGAGTGGAATGGAATGGAGTGGAAAGGAGTGGAGTGGAATGGAGTGGAAAGGAGTAGAATGGAGTGGAATGGAATGGAGTGGAATGGAGTGGAAAGGAGTAGAATGGAGTGGAAAGGAGTAGAATGGAGTGGAATGGAGTGGAAAGGAGTAGAATGGAGTGGAATGGAATGGAGTGGAGTGGAGTGGAATGGAGTAGAATGGAGTGGAATGGAGTGGAATGAAGTGGAATGGAGTGGAGTGGAGTGGAATGGAGTGGAATGAAGTGGACTGGAATGGAATGGAATGGAGTGGAATGGAGTGGAAAGGAGTAGAATGGAGTGGAATGGAATGGAGTGGAATGGAGTGGAAGGGAGTAGAATGGAGTGGAATGGAATGGAGTGGAATGGAGTGGAGTGGAATGGAGTGGAATGGAATGGAGTGGAATGGAATGGAGCAGAATGAAGTGGAATGGAATGGAATGGAAAGGAGTAGAATGGAATGGAGTGGAGTGGAATGGAGAGGACTGGAGGGGAGTGGGGTGGGGTGGGGTAAGGTGGAGTGGAGTGGGGACAGCAGTATCACTTTTAATACAACCAATCCCCAATGTTGTTATATGCACATCAACAACATATTACTAGAAGTCATTTGTTTTCGGCAATTTTATCTAATTTTCAAAAAGAAATCTTCAAGCATTTGATCAATGCTTGAAACTCTCACTATTCAAATAATCAGCACAGCCCTATTGAGAACAAACCTTGCGTGCCCGGTGGCTGTGAATGGTTCCTTGATCCCCTGCTGGAGTTGCTTGTCCGAGAAATACCCCAACCACTTCTTATACTCGTCCAGCCCCACCTGGCCGATGAGTTGGAACCCCGTGGGTAGCTTCATGCCGTAAACCTCGATTCCTGATCGGTTAACCAACCATTCCTGTTGGTTGAACATGTAATAACTATGGGCCCACTGTGATCACAGTCCATGCAGGGGGCACGTTAGTTTTTAACCCCTCCTTAAACTAGCGTAAATCTCTAAGGTGGAATCCAGGGTTAGCAATATGGGTCATTCTATAAATTAGGGGTCCAATTTTTTTTCGTGTCCCTGTCACATCTGACAAGTGAGTTTGTAAGTTTAGAACACATTCTCTAATTTCTGAGAGCGATGAATTAATGCAAATTACCTGTCAAACATCTAAAAATAGTAGCAATTGCAGTGACAGCTCCATGTCAAATGAAACAGGTCAGGTGTAACAGGGACACAAAAATGCCACACTTTTGGAGCCCAAATTTATAGGATGACCCACACACTTATACGATGCAGATATTGAAAGTGAACAGCATCTACAAAATTGCTGCAACGTGTCACAAGGACAGTGATCTCTTTCACGGACACACCTTTTGGTTTGATTCCCTGGCTGAATGGAACAATCGTCAACATGTACGTTGTACTCCAAAAATTTGGAGCAAACGTTTGGCATTCAAACCATCACAGACATTTGCTTCCTCTTGCTAAATCTGACCTCCATTTTGGAGTCTTATGACACGACTGGTTTAAGCACGGTTCAGGATATCAACAATTCCACAATTCATCAAAATCCCAAATACCATTTTCATTTTTCTTTCCTTATTCCCCGCTTCAAATTTGTCCTCTTCTGTGTATGTTGGAAACTCTTTGTTCTGCATACCAATAAATTAACAATATAAAAATCCATAAATAGCACCCTCACCATGTACATCCCAAAGTTCCTCTCCACCACGTCGGGGTGATTGTCGAGGTACGCAGTGATCGTCGACAGGGTTTGTCTGCGGAAGCAGTAGAAGACGACACTTGCCATGCGCGACGCTGTCTCGTCTTGGCTCGGCTTCTCCGTGAAATGCATGATCCTGGACGATAAGAATAGACGTCTTCTATCAGTGTATTCACAAAGGTCACCAACCCTGCCCCGTTACTCTGGAGGTTAAAGGCAACACGCGAGACACCCTTTCATGTCTTGAATACATGTTGGATAAGGGAACGTTTCATAATTACAGAAGGCGGTATTTACTGCGGTACCGCTGTATTTTTGCGGTACCAGCATTAAGCCCTTTTGGGTAACTAGTGCCGTGCCGCTAAAAAAAACAGCGGTAAATACCGCCCACAATTATGAAATGCTCCCTAACTTTCTTGTAGAGTTACTATAACCCTCCATCTCATTTGTAGCTTAAAGGGCGGATATTCAACATTTTGGTTCTCGTGCTCAGTGAAAATTTCCAACTTCATTATTTGAAGTACGATGTCATTCATGGCTTTGTTGCCGTAAATTGTGTGCACAAATATCACACTTTCCTCATTTTTTAAAGAGAAATTTCCACTTTTTCCTTGTTCATTGCATCATGAATCCACTGACATGTCAGTCATCAAATGAAAAAAATCAGGTGTAACAGAGAAAGAACTTACACGTGGGACCCCAAATTTATAGAAAGAATCGTACAGGAAAGCAAGAAAGATGTGTTACCTGTTGGTTGTTGGGCATACGTCCACAATACCACGGCTTCGTGACAACTCCGTGGGCTCCATCTCGTAATAAATAGCCAGCTCTCCTCTCTACACAAAACACAAGAACATAAAAACCTTTTTTCTCACTCAATGGATAAGAAAAGAAACTCAGACGTTCAAGTCAGTGCCCCCTGATCCAAAGATTCAGTTAAGAATTACTCATCCACTGTTACAACGGATTTGAACCACCGACTTGACTTGAGCAAGGTTGATGACAAAGCAGCTGACCCCTAAAACTATGACATTTTAGAATTTGTCTTCTTTTATTTACCAAACCAACAAAAGAGGGGAAAGTCAGATGTTCAAATTGGCTTCTCCTCTTCAAAAGATTCTGTAAAGAGTTATTGGTGTTGACTGTTACATTCGATGTAAGTTACCAGGCTTAACTTGAGCAAATGTGGCTGTGAAGTACGTACAATTTGACCAATTTGTTCTTCCTTTTTGTCACCATAATTTCAAAACTGCTCATTGTTTCCAAAGAGCTGTTGTTCAGATTTGGCATGACCTGACACCAGAACTTTTGTCAGCAGTGACGGTGGTTTTAAAACAGTGATGGATGTCTCTCAAACCTTTCGCTTGAAGTAGTCTACGACTTGGGTGATGTCAAAGTTGTGATCCTGGAAGAGCATGTCCCCGGCAACCTGAGGATGTCAAAAATTATGACAAATTTAGAAAAAAAACAAAAAGAGTGGAAAGAAACAGCATTCCTGTCAGTGGTCATGAAATAACAAAACTGTAACTTTGGCATGAAGGGCTGTCATTTGATGAAATAACGAAGACCTACAATTGGGCAATGCTTGCATGCGTAAGGTATTGTGTTAACCCTAACCCNCCCACTGTTACAATGGATTTGAACCATCGACTTGACTTGAGCAAGGTTGATGACAAAGCAGCTGACCCCTAAAACTATGACATTTTAGATTTGTTCTTCTTTCATTTACCAAAACAACAAAAGAGGGGAAAGTCAGATGTTCAAATTGGCTTCTCCTCTTCAAAAGATTCCGTAAAGAGTTATTGGTGTTGACTGTTACATTTGATGTAAGCCACCAGGCTTAACTTGAGCAAATTTGGCTGTGAAGTACGTACAATTTGACCCCATTTGTGCTTCCTTTTTGTCACCATAATTTTAAAAGCTGCTCATTGTTTCCATAGAGCTGTTGCTCAGATTTGGCATGACCTGACACAAGAGCTTTTGTCAGCAGTGATGGGGGCTTTAAAACAGTGTCTCTCAAACCTTTCGCTTGAAGTAGTCTACGACTTGGGTGATGTCAAAGTTGTGATCCTGGAAAAGCATGTCACCGGCAACCTGAGGATGTAAAAAATTACGATAAATTAAAAAAAAAACAAAAAGAGTGGAACAGCATGCCTGTCAGTGGTGACGAAATAATGAAACTGTAACTTTGGCATGAAGGACTGTCAGTTGATGAAATAACGAAGACCTACATGTACAATTGGGGCAATACTTGCATGCGTAAGGTATTATGTTAACCCTAAACCCCCAAGGGTTGCTGGCCCTAACCTTCCCCATTCACACAAAGTTAAACACCCATATGGGAATTTGTGCACAGAGGCTGTTGAGGTATGCCTAACCCAATGCAAAGGCCAGCTGTTATGGGCCTACCAGACCTATCCTTACAGAATTAAACACTTTACTACTGTTTAAATCTCTGTGGTTGGGGAAGGTTAGGGTTAAAGGTGACACCCCTCCCCATCCTAGGGATTCAAAGAGGAGACCAAATCCCTGAGCAAGACCTGCAGCAGCCAGGGAAGGGGGGATGATGATAGTTCATTAGTTGCACCACGAACTGAAATATTGTGTCCAGTTGCTATGGAAATCACAAACAGGTGTAACTTGTGCACTGTGTGTTACATGTACATCACTTCATGCTGAGGCAAAACTATTGATCATGTCACTCTGTACTGCGACGGACGAATGCAGGTGCATTTTAGCTCAAGAATGAGTTTTGAAATTTCTGTGATTGAAAATGGTTTAACAATCAAGTGATACAGTAATAGGAAATTTTTACAATGCAAGAAACTTTCCTCAGAGGACCAGTTCAACCGACGATACCAGTTAACAATAGTTTGACCAACGGAACCCAAGTGATGGATGCTTCGCTTCATAGATGAAACCATTTGCAACCCCTGAAGACCAACTTACCAGAGATCAAACTATTTTTTTCCACTTAAATTTGTTGAGAGGCTTATATTTAGTCATCAAATGAAAAGAATGTCATTGTATGCGTTACATGTGTATAGAGTTTGTGTACAGGAAGCTAAAAATCACATCTTGACTGCAATTTGCTGAATCCAGCAAAATGTACTTATTGAAGCAAATCGGATCAACTGAAACTTACCACCATGACGCTATCATCAATCCTCTTGTTTCTGAGCACAAGGTCAAAATCTCCGACAGAACCTAGCCTGGAAGTAGTTAATTCAGAAAGATCAGATGCAGAACCGAGTATAAATAAAATCGAAACAAATGAAAACAGTGATCTTTACGTCCCTCAAATTGTTTTTTTTCTCAACTGTCTTTTTCGCTTTAATTGTTCTATCCAACTAATCATGCTTTGAGGTCAAAGTTAACTTATTCCAACATGTCCAATGACATCCTACCTCTTTCAGCGAAGTGGGGGCTACTTAAGGGCAGACATGGGGACGGGGGAAACCGGGCTCATTTGAAAAGGAGCCATTTTTTTAAGTAATGAGAGAAAAGTGACATTTCTGTTCCTTCCAATCCAAAAAGGCTCTGAACTGTACAGATTAAATTAGCAAAGCAAAAAGTGAAAACAACGTTTAATCAAACACACAGGTGCAAATCCAGTTATAGTAAAACAAGGGTCTTACAAGTTATCTAAAACAAAACGGTTGGTTCATAAACACTCTTGTAATGTGTTCATTTGTAACCAAGCTCTGCAAAAAAGCTTGGAATACAATTTGACTCACACATGAATATGCAATTAAGCTCTTGCATATTCATTTGTGAATCAACAGGGCTGCAGAACTTTACCTGTTTTCGTAAGTGGTGGAGCCGTCATTGACGATGTTATCCACGGGGAAGTCATTTGCTGTGGCCCACCGTTCGTAGTATTTGTACCTAGAATGGAATGAAGTATTATACAGAAGTGGTTAAAATGAAAAATTCTCCAATCAAAAGACTTGCACGTGAGAAAGAAAAATTCAGGACAGCATACGGTAGCTTAGTAGGCCTATACAAATAATGACTGTTTATGAGCCCAATGGTGAAAATAACTTCCTGAGGTGATAAATTTCAATACTTTATATGATTGTAAAATACAAACAGTTAAGCTTTGTGGAAACTGACATATATCAATGTTCTAGCTCTTCAACAGCAAGATGAAGTCAAAGGGTTTAAGGTTCAAGAACTCACTTGTCAGCATTGGTGACCAAGTAAACGTCGCTGAACACCTGACGCCTGTGGATGAACAGAGACAAGCCAATTACATCCACAACAATTACACTGTGAAATTTTAAACAATACCAGACACGAAAGACCTGCCGCACTGTTCAGTATTCCTCAACCATTTCAGAGAAACCTAAAAAATGATGCGTATATGTGTTGCAGGCACAGATTTCCCCCCATTTAGTATGCAGGGTGGTGGGTTCTCAGTTGTGGTTTCTCCTCAAACATAAATATTCCCAGGTAATTTGGTAGCTGAGCCCCAAGGGCACTGCAGAGCCACTGTCTGAAACAAAGAGGGTTTTATCTATTTGCCCACAGCCTGTGTGCCAAGTTCTTCATTCAGCAGATGGCATCCATAAGTGCAGACTGCACTAACTTTCTCTTTCCATATAATGTACTAGAAAGTTTGTCTGCCCTGCTACATTGGATGCTAGTCAGATTGCGCACTTCGTGATACTCTTTCGGTTCTTCGTTCGGTTTTTGTTTTCTTGTTGGATTTTGATTTGTTTGCTATTCATTTCTCTTTTTGGTCTTCCTCCAATTGATTCATTTCCTTTTTACATTTTTTATTGTCAATTTTAATTAGCAATCTCAAGTTTGGTGAATGGTCTGAAGGTTCCAAGAATTTAGTCTGCGTTTCTGTTCTCTGTTACTTCATTTTTTTTTAATATCCTTGGGAATCAAAATAAAAACTTAGCTTTTTTTTGTTGACTCTCTCTTGTGCCCAATTTTCAGGTTACATATGCCCTCTCTTTTTAAAATTGTCCCCCTCTGTGTAACTCATTCTTGATTTCATAATTGTGGAAAACTGCACTTTGGAAATAAAGCCCTCATTATCTAACTCACGTGTTGATGGCCTCCCACCAGAAGTCCAAGATCCGTTTCCCGCCCACTCCAGGAAGCAGGGACTTGGGCACGCCTTCCAGGGAGGAGTAGCGTCCTGAAACGTCATTCTTTCAGGAGGAGAAAAAAACAAAGAAAATCAAAATGAAAAACATCACAATGTAATGACAGCTGGGATTGTATAGTCATGATAGTTTGGGACCCCAGTTTTTTGACATTTTAATCTGGCAAAACTGGCAAGGCCCCCCCCCAAAAAAAACCAAAAGGAACACTCTCTTTTTTTGCACTGACCCTATTTTTGTGAAATTTCAAACTGTAAATTGTGAGAAAATGTGACTTTCTTACTGATAAAGTAACCATGTAAATTTGAATCCACCATGTGCCATGTGTTACACCACTCAAAGTCACAGTTTCCCTGCAAAATGTCCCTTAAAACTCAAAACCCTGCCGTTTTTTACAACATCAACCCAACAGTTACCGAGCATGTCAGACTCATACATGTACATGTAGTCATCTCCCAAGGTGGGGCCTAAAGTTAAAATATAGCTCTCCCTTCTCGTGTGCTTCTATTTCTTTTTACGGTAGTACAGCTTCACGATCAGGCTGGTAATAATGGTTAAAAATGGCGTTTCCCTCCAAGCATATATACCACCTTACCCTGCCTCTTGTAATAATTGTTACCCTCCCCTATGCCCCGCGCCGCCCCTCCCCCACTGGCACTGGGCCTCGGCGCAGTCACGGCATGTGTGTAGTAGTTTTTAGGCCTAATGTGAGTAGTGAACTTGGTCCAAACTAAGACTTTATAATCTCTGTGGAAAAATCTGTGCAAGATACCTTGATCTCATCCTCCAATACGCGCCCGTGTCCAGCAACTAAAATGACACATATCATCCTTCAGCTTATTCCTGTCCGTCTGCTCGTCCTTCAAGTCATTTCTCGTTCCTAATTCAACTTCAAGCAAGTCCTCCTTCCACGCCACAGAAAAACCACCCCGCACAACATTGGACAGCACCTTGGAGCGGTAACCTGTATCAACTATAAATCACAACGATAGTTCTACCGTGAGAACCATAACCGCAATGGGTCCCGTCTACGAGTTATAAAACAAGATGGCGGCTCTTCGACTTTTCCGTTCGCGAGGTTTGTGACGGTTTTATCTTTTAATGGCAGTAATTAGAACTAGCTGTTGATGGTTTGTGAAAATTAATTTATAATAAGAAACTGTGTACTGTGTGTTGTGAATGACTTCGTGATGTTGGCATGTACGACAGCAAAATCACGTCGGTTGAAAGCGCCTGCAACTGCAAGAACAAGTGCGTGCGGCATGTTTATCGCGAGTACTGAGTTGTACCATGCCTAGCCACTAGTGTGGCCCGTACACTCAAATTTGAATCCACCATGCGGCACATGTTTAAAGACACACAGTTTCCCTGCAAAACTTTCTTCAAAACTTCAACCCTATAGTTTTTGGGTATGATGTCAAAGTCATCTACTATGGTGAATTCAAAAGTTAATAAGTACACATGTAGCTCTCCCTTTCATTATTAGGAACAGGGTCCCCAAATGGGAGTTAGGCGAATGACAAGCTTCACAGCTCTGGGGGTAACTTCAGAAGTGTCATGATAATTTTTGTGGGCTTTTTTTAAAAATCAATTATGTTGCAAAATAACTGTCCTAGGTTGAATTTTCCCTGTTGTCTTTGATGATCATGTTGATCTTAGCCCCCCCAGCAGTCAGTATTGACAATACACATACAGGTGTACATGCAAATTGTCAGTGATTTCATAATGAATCAGCTTTCAGCCCAGGTTATTTTCTCCACCCTTGTGGAGAGAGCTTTCCTGTGTTGTTCCATACAGATACAGTTGTTTCCGCAGGAGAACTTGCACTGTAGATTCTGATGCTCAGTAAAAGCTGTTTCAATTTTTTTTTTCTCGTAGCTCTGCTAGTCAGCCCACAGGTAGTGACCAGCTCCTTTCTCAAGAGCGACAATGCCCGGACACCGTATGGCCCAACAATGGTCCACACCAGCCCACCAAACCAAAGTACCGGTCAGTATTTCTAGAGGGTCCGTGCAATGAATTTAATGAGTTTTTCTGTGACACACCTTTTGTGCATCTGTATATCTCTCTTTGTATTAAAAGTGCACTTTTTGTAAACAGTTGAAGTTGTCTATGTATTTCCAGACAATAGAGGGCGTTATTGATGTGACGTCAATCAAGGAAGATTTTGTTGTGGATCGTCTGAATAGTTTGTGTCTTGGCCTAAGACTCGATGATTTGTAATAGCATGTCAGGATGTGTAGGGACTTGTGATGGATTCAGCTACAACACTCTTGATTTTGTTATTTACTTGGGTTGTGCCCTGTTTGCACGTAGGCCAGTCAAACGTAATGGCGTCTACACGTTGGAAGTTTGAGCACATGGTGACGCTGGCCATGACGGCAGCCGTGCCCACCGCCTTCATTACCCAGCATCCTTTGCTGGACTACGTGCTGGCCGGCTGCCTGACCCTCCACGGCCACTGGTATGTCTCTTCACACTGTGAGCATGAACGAGAGATGGTGTGCTCCTTTACTTTAAACGAGCAAGAATCAATATTACCCTCTGACATTTTCTCTGATATCATCGCAGGCCTTTTTGGGATCCCATGCAGCAAGTCTGGTCCGAGGAAATTTAGCTCATCAGGCCCGTGTTTATTTCCAGTTTCCTTGACATGAAACGACTGAGATGAATTCTGTTCCCCCTGGATGGGATGCCTGTCCATTGCAGGTTGCTTCCCCAGCTAATGCTGGTACCCATGTATACTCCTGGGTGGAGAGAGGCAAGCAGGGGTGAAGTGACTTGCTAAGGGCCACGACATACTGCCACTAGCTGGATTCAAACCTCCAACCCTACGATTGGAAGCCACAGACCAGTTGTCCACTCTAACCACATGTCCACATGCCCCGGGGTTCCATACAGAGCCTTAATGAATTTTTCACTAACAGGGTACCCAAAATCATTGAAAAATCATGCTGTAAAAGTCCTGGAATTTCCTGAAAAAAGTAGGCTGTTCTGAAATCATGTTGTCTGAGGAAAAAAAGTTGTGGAAATGAAAATGATGCAGTGGTTATTTGTGATAGTTGGTTGGTAAAGTCCAGCATTCCAGTGATTAGAGGTTTTATTCCTGTCTTGATCAAAGCCAGTCAACGGGTTTCATTCTTTCTTTTGCAGGGGCATGGAGTCCATCTTCTTGGACTACATGCCGGGCAAGACCCTCCCCAAGGTGGCCAACTCTTGCCTCTTTGGCGTCTCCGTTCTGACCTTCGCCGGGCTCTGCTACTTCAACTACAATGACGTGGGCATCACCAAAGCCATCATGATGCTCTGGTCTTAAATCGCGGCTATGGCTATGGCTGTGTCTTGGAGTAACACACTTGTTTATGGGCATTTGCTGTAGCCACTAAGCAGAAGTTTTCATAGACTCCCATGTTATTCCAAGGCACAGCCACAATATTTTGGACGCAGCCCATCACAAACGCTTCGGCAGAACATGTGACCCAGAACATCGAAATGAGGAATAAGTTGCATATTGACTTTTTGAGATGTGTTTATTGTAAGAAAATGAATTTCTGTACAGTTTATTCTGGACTGATCATAGCGTATATGTATATCAATGACACATTGATTAAATAGGATAACTACATGTACAGTCCTAGACAGACTAGGCCCTGAAAATTGACCAGGTAAAATTGTCTCTGATTTGCTTGATGAAAAGTGAATGTGCAGAACGTTCAAGGCAATTTATTCCTGATTTGGAATGTGTCAGGTCACACATTGCAGAAAAAAAATCTGTCTCACCCTCTGTTAACTCTGAACATCAAAGCTCACTGGGTAATCCATAAATGATAAAAACCACCCCCTTTGGGTCAGTGGCAGAGAGACAGGAACGGATGGGTTTCTTTTTCTGCGGGTTTTGCCTATGCTTTTTCTTACAGTCAGTTGTTTCTGTGAGTAATGCAGCACTTTATGGGAGGGACATTCCCCAATTCGTTGCATTATTCCCACAATTAAACTGGATGTTGAAAAGAAAAACAAATTGACATCCCACCTGATCTTCTGCATGGAATGTATACCTGTCAAACACTTACTGCTTGTCTCCTATCAATGCCCTCCTTAAGACATGGTGAATACTTTGATTGTATTCTGATAGGCATTGTCAAGGTTTTGCATGTATTTATATATGCCGTGTGATCTGTGTAACACGGAAGATATCGGGATATTTGATTTCAAATTATTTCATTCTAGGAGTAAGGGTTGAACTCACAGTTGTGGATCTCACTTGCATCGGGAAACAAAGTCACATGCAGATGATCTGGTGGGATGCGGATTACATCTCAGCATGCTGGTTATTTGCCACCGGTGAATCCTCGACATGCTGCGCTTAGAAATGGACAATGCAAGGAAAGACTGAGTGACTGTTGAAAGTTTATCCAAGAAGACTATTAGAAACTGTAAAGATGCTGTTAAAAGAAAAACTATCCGTGTCCAGTCCACTTCATGCCTAGTAGCCATGATCAGACACGATTCACTGATTAATCTATGAAAGTAAATCCAAAAAAAAAGAGAGAAAACAATGTGATTTATTACAGAGCATCTCAATGTCATACTGAAAAGGGTGTGTAACATTCTCACATGATGTAACATTTTGAGACTGTTCTCCAGAGGTGTTGAAATTTATACAAAAACTAGGTTTCTTTCTGTTTATTTCTGTTTTTCAGTCTTGAGAGGATGGCCTCACGGTATGAGCTAATTTAAACCCAAACCTTCCCACATCTTTTAAAATCCATTGGGAGATCCAATAGAACTTTGTAGAATTCATAGAAGATGGATAACTGTAGATAGATACTGAAAAAACTATGGTTGTGGATAGATTGATTGTGTAGCACGCCCCAATGGTTTCCTGCAAAGTAAAATATTGTTCGTGGTTCCAACCGTGCCAACAGAGTTGTACATAATGCATGTACATCACACAAGTGAAATGAACGCATTGTACAAATACTGTGCTTGGTACAGTTACATGTTGCAGTCAAAGAATTTTTAGTTTGGCTTCTGAAATGTATAAAATCAAAGCTGCAGTTCTGATTTCTTAAGCCTCACTTTCGTTCCTATTTTGGCTTGCTTTCGTTTTGCACAAACTGTGAAAGCCTGAAATAATGTTCATGTCAAATGAAGAGGCTCAGAACTTAAACTTAGCAGTCCTCCCCCCCCAACTGTTGAGGAACTGCTGACTGCCGGGGTTCAATTAAGGTCACAATAAAGTGTCAAGCAGAAGTCTCTGACATAAGGCAGCCGCATCAGGAAGTTGGCAGTAGGAGTTATGAAAATGAATTTTAGTTGGTGGACCTGAATGGGACCTTGGCATGAAGGCCAGCATAAGGGCCAGATCTTCTCCCGTTCAGGTCATCGCAATGGATCTCTCTCATTGGACGTCACCTTTAGAGGGAAATTGCAAATGCGTATACAACGCCAGCAAGTGCGTGTGCGCGCAGTGTGCAAAATGTTCTAAACTAGCGCGCGTGCTGAACCAAGTTTGAAATATGGCACAGCCAATGCGCGTCACGAAAATTGGAAGTAAAAAATGCTGATGCACATGGCAGTCCATAGGAAGTGACGTCATTTGAGAGAGACCCATACAACTGTGGATGTTTAACGTAAAGTTTACGTATACTTCAATAGTGCTTCGTCGTGGTATGCCCCCCCCAAAATCATTTTATTCCAGCTCCTCCCTCTTTTTAGTTGCTAGCTGTGTCTGAGTGACAAGGCAATGGCTGGATAGGACACATGGGCTTATGGCATGTCAAAATCCACTTGGCTGCGGCTTGAAATTACACAAGGGTCTATAGTTTGGGCGGTAGCGGCTGCCCACAGGGTGGTGTGTAATTCCAAGCCACAGCTAAATAATTTGGACATGGCCGGTGGTAGCCGTAACCTAGAGGCTGCAGCCAAGTCTGATGGACTTGAGCGTACATGTGTGAGGTCTTTCTTGACGTAGCCACACAATTTGGACACAGTTGGGGCTCCCTTAGCTTGAAACATTACACAGTGAAGGCTGAAAGTTACTACTGGAAGGCTAGACTGATTTCAGGTTTTTTACCCTTCGTAAACACTGCATACTCAGTGCTTGTGCAAGAGCTTGTGAAAAAGTTTGCAAGCTTACTTGGGTGGGACTCGAACCCACAACCTTCTGCTCACTAGTGCAGACGACTCAATCACCGAGCCTGCTGGGGTCGGCTGGCTGGTCTGAGTCGATCAGATGTAGCAGCAAGCACTGCTCGGTGGTCGACTGGTTAAGACGTCTGCACTAGTAAGCAGGAAGTCATTGGTTCGAGTCTCACCCGAGTAAGCTTGTGAATTTTTTCACAAGCTCTCAGATAAGCACTGAGTGTACAGTGTTTACGAATACACGTCGGGTAAGGGCATAAAACCCAAAATTAACATCTCCCCCACGCAAAGTACATCTTGAAAAAAGGCTGTACTGATTTCTACTGCTCATAAAATCAGTTTTGATGATGTAGATCATTTGGTTTGAAAGAGTTACAGAAAAGAACAAGACATGTTGTACAGTTTAATACGAGTCATGTACATCATACTGTGGCATTTTTTTCTCCAAGATTTACGTTCGCTCGGTGTTATTGTAAAGATATTCAGTTCTCAGTAACAGAAATTTTAGAGTGCAAAATAAAAAAGGACAGCTGTCTATGAAGTATATTTCTGACAGGCTTCTTATTTTGTGTGTTTAGTTTTACCTGTTGGGGGGGTTGTGTTTTTGTTAGTTTTGCTTCGTTTTCTGTTTTTATTTGATGGAAAAGTGTGTAGGGAATTCCCAATACATGTACATGTATATAAAATTGATTTGAAATTTGCAACTGTCTATTGCTCATTTTGCTGATGTGTGTTTAGAAAGCACAGTTGTAACAGCATCCACTGATTAAAAACAATCTCTGCCCTTACAGGTGCTTATGTACTCCTGCATTTATGGAGAGAAGGAATTACAGCAAGGTGTCTTGCGTATGAACGCGTGCATTCGATCAATTAAGTTACTACCGGTAGTACAGGAACAGATAACGACAGATTTTGAGATCACTGCTTCATCCACGCTACAAACCCGTCTTCCCACCTTCCTCACAAAACTGTTGTTTCATTTGATTTTAAACAATCACAAAATGTTCAGGTACCACTAAACAAAACGCCCAAAATCAATTATCGGCTTGGAATTATAAGTGGACTGGTAACGAGTCTTCAAAGTTATCAAAACAAAAAAACGCGCAAGACTGGTAGCGAGTTTATTCGCTGTCTCTTCAGAAGCTATTTTTAATGACAAAAGCACGTGTTCGCTCAAGCGTAACATTACGCATGGGTTAGTCACGTCGTACAGTACCGTACATATGTGGCAAGCCAGGGTTGTGGTTGCGGTTTCAGAAAACAATAATTTTACGTGCAAAACTTAGCCTTGTTCTTACACCCAGTTAGGACTGATCTCTCGGTTAAGATTGGGCTGAAAGTTTACAGGTAGGTAGAAACGTCTTTGATTAATACTCGGTTCGCTTTCTTCAGACATCACGGCGCCTGAAAGCATCATGACCATGCTGAAACAAACGCGTGAAACATGACATACATGTATGCGGAAACAGCAGGCCAAACATGATATTATGACTAAACAACCAGACAACTGTTCTGCTCGTACATTTTACAGTAGGCTACTACACTTTTACCAGGCCTACTTCCAGGCTTATTTTGTAAATTGTTGTAGGCATGTACATGTACAGTTGTATCTGAAACCAGACACATTGTCCATTTAAACATGTTGAATTGCCCGGTTCGTGGACGAATACCACTTAGCCTGCCAGTCATGCCAGTTGAGTAGGTACCATTCAGAAAAGGCTGGCCCTGCATGAACATGTAATACGCGATGTATGGATGCTGCTTGTTGTAACATATCCGCTTGTTGATTGTCAGAACCCAACAACAGATGGCGTTCTTTTCCACACAATGTATGTCACGCTTCTGGAAACATCCGCTTGTTGATTGTCAGAACCCAACAACAGATGGCGTTCTTTTCCACACAATGTATGTCACGCTTCTGGAAACAAGACTAGGCGTCTTATCCCTGAATAAACCACACCAGAGTCGAGTCCTAATTAGTTCTCCTCTGTCCATCCATTCATCCTCCTAAAACGGTCCCGTACACTTTACACTTGTCATCGTGACATGGCTGACCAGCTGACCCTAATTTAAACCAGACTGGCCTGCAAAATTCTAGGTGCCTGCCTGCCAGTCATGCCAGTTGAGTAGGTACCATTCAGAAAAGGCTGGCCCTGCATGAACATGTAATACGCGATGTATGGATGTTGCTTGTCATCGTGACATGGCTGACCAGCTGACCCTAATTTAAACCAGACTGGCCTGCAAAATTCTAGGTGTTTTCTGCATGTATAGGTAGGCCATGTACATGTACTACCCTCCGGACGGTCATGTGACAGAGGGGTATTAAACTTAAAGCAAAATTTTCAATTTTGACTGTTAAATTTTACTTTTTAGAACATCTCATCGCTTTCAGGTGGCTAGACCTATCAAGTCAATGCAGGATAAAATTGGTACTTTGATGGTTACAAGTATGGTAGCACAGATCTGTATACATTCACTGACAATTTTTTCCCCGTAACAGAATGTCGCATACCCAACTGCTAGGTTCAAACCACTTCACAGCTTCTGTTTTTCTTTTGATTATGTGGCTCCCAGATCTGTTGTCCGTCTGGTCGCTTCCCTGCCTGCCTGGGTGAATAGCACGGGCATGGGGTCCCGGGTTCTTTTCTATCCTACCCTGGGCTACAATGTCTTCATGAAGAGCGTGTCATCGCGGGAATGGTATGACCGGATTGACAACACAGTCCTGCTCGGGGCGTTGCCACTGAGAAGTAAAAACATCGCGCAAGAGGTGAGTATCCATGATCGGTGATGTTGCAAGCTGACATCTGGTAACCCCAGAAGTGTGAGGTGTGTCGTCTGCCACCTGCCCTGCGGACGATGAACCCTCACAGTCCCGGGTGTAGACATCAGAGCCCAATGTCACTGTGCTGGTAACTGCACGATTCGTGCTAACAGAGGCTTTCCGTATTTCATGGAGACCGTAAGCAACAAGCTGGACAGACGGCATGCGTACCTCAGACAAAAAATCTGCTTAACGTAGTGACACGTGCGCGCGTGTTTAAGCACTAAGCATGCCGAGCTTATAGTAAACAGTGTCATTTGCAGTAGTAAGCACAACTTTGCTAACTGTTAACCAGCTTCATGAAATTTGACCCTGGTCTAAAATAAAACCTTGACGTGGTCTTCAAACTGTCTATGTAAGGACGTGCAGGTGCATATTAGTACATGTAAATATTTAGATCTATGACTAATTTAGCCCTAACAATCCTGCACATCATTTGGCTTACAGGACTCAGTATTATAATATTACATACATGTACATGTAGCAGTCTCAGCCTGAAGGACCTAGTGCTACAAATTACTACTTCTGGCTAGGGCACCCTCCATTGTTTCTTGTACAGAGAACGATAAAGCCATGCATTCATAGTGCCACAGCACTGTATGGTACATTGTCTTATTGTATTTTATGGCTTCAGAGAACAATAAGGTCATGCCCTGTTATAAGCGACAGCACTGAATACCTCGTTTTACTACTAAGTAGTAATTTTTAGTATTATGTAGGGTTAGCTACCGGTACATGTAATGAGAATAATGTCTTGTCATGATGAGCAGAATGTTGATGACGCTGGAGGTGTGTGTGGGGAGGATGGGGTTCTTCCCACCCTTCCCCTCCCCCCAAAATTGAAAAGTACAACAGATGTAAAAAGGGGAAAAACTAAAAAAAACAAATGAGAGCTAGAGATGATGGAAGGGGATGTCAAGTACCATTATGTTTGAGAAAAGCTCAAATTATTTTAGATTAATCTGTGGAAAAATAATTGCAAATCAAAATCCTTTATTGAACTATACCAGTTTGCGCATGGTGATTGAATAAAAGGATACAGAGGGGGGCGTTCCCAAAAAAAAAAGCTGGTCATTACAACTGATCAACATGTACAGTGTATCGTAAACATGTTCAACATTACATGTGATGTTCTATTTCTTGTCGACATGAAGACGATGAGATCGATGTTTCTTTACAGCTCTATAATATTCAAAAATGATTTCAAATCACTTTGTTTCGACATATGTTGACAGTGCTTGAACTCTTGTTGCTAAATTGTATGATATTTCCGTCATTTCTGTATATTCAACCCCCCCCAGGATATTTTATTTGTTACATACATTCACAACGTTCAATACTCCACATTTTGTACTGTACATGTACATGTACATGTATGTACTGTACAGTACATGTACACTGTAGTTGACATGTAAAGTTACAACAAACTGGACACCAATCTCGGACACCTATTGTACATGTATATTCCGTCTACATGTACATATACAGTAATTAACATGATCTTTCTGGATTTTACAAATTACCGTGTTATAATGGATATCGGTACCCGGTACCGTGCATTATCAGTATTCGAAAACAAAAATACAAAGACTTGGGGATCTAAGCGAGCAGGATGTTGTATTGTTCAGCAATGGTCTTATCACTGGTTTCCCACTGTGTACGTACATGTACAGGTGTATGCATACACATACATGTATCTGAGATAAATGTACCATTTGAGCATGCTGAATGGGCCACTTTGCTGTCTCCCGGTGAAAGCATCTGGTTGTCATATTTTCAATACGTACACGTATGCGGGTGTTTCTTTTCAAGGGGTCCATTGTCATTAGGAAACACCCACGATGGTACCAGCACATGTACACTTTGACAGTGTTTGAAGGGGGCTGTTCAGTAAACTGCAGGGCCACAGACATGGCAGAGTTAAGTTTTTCATGATGAGTTGATCACATTGTACGTACCGGTACTATCAGCAAAAGAAAAATGGGTCTAGTTTTTATCAATAAGACAAAAAGTACACTTGTCACAAGCGCAGCATTTTCAGAGAAAAAGGAGGATCAATCATCTACAGTTGATTTCAAGTAAATCGTGTTTAGGAAATACATGTGTACTGTAACATGTATTTATTTATCTATTTATTTACATTTTATTTCATTCAATTCTACCAGGGTAGCCCCCATCCGTCATCAACAGACTGCTCTCTCTGGGGGCCCTGGATTAAGTTTTAAAAAAAACGCAATGTGTACATAATAAAATTCATGTACCACAGGCTCATAAACGTGATACAGTTTAAAAGTACATGTGACATCAAAACATTTAAAACCTTGGAATATTGATTAAACATACATGTACCAACCCAAATAGGTAAACCAAAATTTAATAACAAATGCATTGAAACATATTAAATATATGAAGTAAAAGGTTGATAAATCAGTCAATTACCCATTTGGGAAATTCTTATGTTTTAAAATACCCGATTTGTTCTCATGCCAAAATGACCCATAGTCCTATTAGTTGGTTTCCAAATGTTGTGGCTGCAGCCCATGACCTTGCACTGGTTGCATGGGGAGTTGGGTGAGTTTTTGTTGACGGTGAGCGCTGAGGGAAATAATCGTTACCACGCTTGAATAACTCTGCACAGTGGGCTCGTACATGGATAGAGGCATGAGATGTAAAGGGTTTTGCCCACACGGCTTGACTCAGTGGTGGGCTCGCGTCATTTTAGGAGTGCCTTTGAAAAGTTGAGCACACAGTGCACTTTTGCGTCTCGGCAAATTGTCACCATGTTATAAATCATGTGTGATTATGCAGCTTTGTACATGTACATGTGCATGTACCTGGTATGTACATGTATTACCATATACAACCAATGTAAAAAGAAAATTGTGACTGTACATGTACTTTAAATGCTCATGGGGTAAAATGCCATTTATAACAGGTGGTACCAATTACACTTTGAAACTGATTATTTTTCCTCTAATATTTGCATTAATTTTGTAGTGAATTGGGCACTCAGCAACAACAACAAAATCAACAAATTTGTATTTTGTCTCTTTGAGGTAATTGAGATATTTGGATGCGATCAGTAAATGTACACACATTCCTGCACAGTAGTTGTGGGATGTACGCTGGATATCTCCTATTTTTACAGAAATGCACGGGGGATGGGGGCAAATCCCCACTCCCTCAGGAAAAGAAAACAAAAATCAAATAAATAAACTGAGACGAAAGGTGAAAAATGCATTTTAAAAATTAACTACAATTTTAAAAAAAGGCCAAAAATGTCCACGCCTCATGTGTACATTCTCAGTTCAATCCAGCACAAAAAAGTGGTTACTTTCTGTACACAGACTGACCTGGTAGACAAATAATTACCAATCGACTTTACAAGGGAGGGCACCAGACCCACACAAACACAATGTGCCGTGTTGACAAGGCCCACAATGCACTGTTCAGGGACTGTGTGGTTAGCTTTACAAAAGTGCTCAGGTGTGAATCTCCTAAAGCAGATTAGAGACCTTAACATGTAGTTGTGGATCACAATAAAGCATGTCTACCTTTCTGTAAACAAATTCTTCATGCCTGGCCTTGTGCGAAATGCTTAGCTACAGGCATGTACCGGTACACGTACATATACAGGTATGTACGTGTACATGTACATGTACATGTACCCCTACACTTGCCTACGGGTAAATTCAGAAATTAGGGTTCCTTTTTTTGTGTCCCAGTCACATCTGACATGAATTTTTAAGGTCAGAACACACTTTGTAATTTCCAGGAGTGATGAATTAATGCAAACTGCCACCGTACACCTGCCAAACACATACATGTACTGTTGTACAGTAACGATTTGAAATCAATTCCGGTGATATTTCCATGTCAAATAACAAGGATCAGATGTACATGTAACAGGGACACAAAAGAGCAGGACTTTTGGACCCCTAATAGCTGGAATTACCCATAGAACATTACTTGAAGTTGCAGCCGCATGTAGTTGATATACATGTACATGTATTTGTATTGATTTTCAAACTCCATCATGTCATTAACATGATTAACCCTCCTAGATGCAAAGATGCATTCTCAACACAGTTGTCCTATCATTCAAAATCAGTTACATGTAAGTGAATTGTGATATGTCTGTATGTACTGTAGAGCGAAAGCGGAAGGAATTTTTGAGAGTAACAGTGAGGAAAAGAAGGGTCAAGGTGTTCACTAAAACATCTTGATGGGGGGGGGGCTGTACCGGTAGTTTGCAGTTTTGCCGAAGCACGGCATTTTGTTGTCCTTTTACTTTATGAATTGGTGTCTTCAGGCCAAAATAATTCCATCGCAGGGACTAGTGTCTATATTGTCTACTTGTGGAAAAATGCAGTCCGCAACTTTGACTTTTTTAAACCAGTTTTTTTGGTGCCATTTTTCTGGTTTTTTTTTTCTTTCTTTTTTGCGGGGGGAGAAACATTGCCTTCACTTACAGTGTGGTTGTTATTGCCAGTTTTGTTCGCTTTTTTGTCAGTTAGTGGAAAAGGAGAACGTCAGGGGTGTCATTGCCATGAATGAAGACTTTGAACTGAAGAGATTTGTCACCACAAAGGAGGTAATGTAATAGTTGGCCTTCACCCTCCCCTTACGTCCTAAATCCTCCAAAATCCTCAAAGCATAAGTGGGGATTTTGAAGGATTTACGAGTACATGTAGGCTGTGTGGGAAAAATGCTGTGGCTAATTCAAAGGAGCATTGTGTCAAGGTCTTTGGTAAAACCTTGTGCCTTACATGTACATCCTCGGCTACATGTACGTCAGTTACAGTAGGCCGAGTTTTTATTTGAAAGCATTTATACTGCTCCTGGATTTGATTTGCACTGCCACAACATCCTGACAGGAATTGCTGAAAGATTTGGAATGCTTTAGGTTGTGATTACGGAAGGCAAGAAAGAATAGAGGATTTTGGAAGATTGAGGCTTTATGTGACTTAAACATTTAGCAGTGGCGAGGTTGAATCCTCCACAGCCAAAATGCCTAATGGCTGTGCGCGTGCACGAGAGAGGGCGGCATACTGGCTGGTTTGTGACCCTCCATCTAAATGTCATGTTTTTCTGCATTGTACAGTATATATACAAGCTTTCCTCTATCATGTCGATGGTTTCTCCTCGATGCTCTGTGTCCCAAATCAACTTGTAATTGAAAATGTGCGCAAGTGGATGATGCGCAGTTGGAAAGACAGTTCAAGCACTGAAGTTAAAAATTTCCTTTTTGAGATTCCACTCACTGAACTGTACATGAACCCCTAGTACAGGTTGTGGGTTAGACCTTGGGTTGTTTGTGTTCAGCCATGCATGAATTCATGCCCACATTATGAGTGAAATCCACCACACTGCTCCAAGATACCATTCAAACTGCATCAACGTAACGAGAAGATTGCTGGATTATTTGGAAGGATTGAGGCCATAAGCACTCCTCCACAGAACATATTCAAGAAACATCAGAGGATTTGGGAGGACTGAAGCTGTATCCAATTTTGTCATGGGGGCAGTTGGAGAGAGGATATTGAGGGTGTATCTTTAGCCAAAAGAACCCCGGACAGTAAGGGTTAATCAAAGGTGGAGTCCTTTGGTTTAGAAATTGGCATTCTGATAATACGTATATCCTGAGATGTGAATGAGCAGCACAGCCCTAATTGTCACCAACAGGAGTGGACCAAGCTGGGGGTGGAGACCCTCCAGCTCCCGACGGTGGACTTCACAGAGGCACCGAGCATCGACAAGCTGGAGCAGGGCGTAAAGTTCATCATGGACTTTGCCGAGAAGCAAGAGTCGGTGTACGTCCACTGCAAGGCCGGGCGGACGCGCAGCGCTACGCTGGTGGGATGCTATCTCATGCATGTGAGTCAAAACCACAGAGAGGGATGATGTGCAGATATTACATGGTTTGAGGGTGGATACTAAAGAAATATTACATGGTTTGAGGGTGGATACTAACGAAATATTACATGGTTTGAGGGTGGATAGTTAACAAATATTACATGGTGTGAGGGTGGATAGTAAGCACATGTGACATGGTTTGAGGGTGGATAAATGCGGGATGCAACATAAATGTCCTCCTCTAAGAGAAACAAATATTACATGGCTTGAGGTGGATAGTAAACAAATATTGCATGGTTTGAGGGTGGATAGTCAATGCATGTGGTTTGATGATTTGATGGTGGAAAGTTGATTTGAGCTGTCTGATGTAAGTTGTCAAACTACCGTTAGTTCCTGAAGCAAACTGAGGCAAAACTGAGGAGACTAGTTTGTCACCCGCCTTTGTGAACAAATGTTGCATCCTGCATTGCTAGTGCACAAATGATGGCCTCTGTTAACACATCCATTGTGCATTATTGGTTAACGCATGAATGATGGCCTTTGTTAGCAAATACCCCATCATGTATTTCAGGTCAGCAAATGGAAATAACCTTGTCAGATCATGCATTGCAGGTCAATATGGTTCATAATGCTCCATCATGCATTACAGGTCAACGGGTCAATGTGGTTCATAATGCCCCATCATGCATTGCAGGTCAGTAGGGTTAATAATGCTCCATCATGCATTGCAGGTCAGTGTGGTTCGTAATGCCCTATCATCCATTGCAGGTCAATATGGTTCATAATGCCCCATCATGCATTGCAGGTCAATATGGTTCATAATGCCCCATCATGCATTGCAGGTCAATATGGTTCATAATGTTCCATCATGCATTGCAGGTCAATGTGGTTCATAATGCCCCATCATGCATTGCAGGTTCATATATGGATGCCCCAGTTAATTAACAAATGCTCCCTCATACATTGCAGGTCAACAAATGGACACCCCAGGAGGCCCAAATCTTCATCCAAACCAAGCGGCATCACATTATCATGAAGGATAAGCACTTCCGGGCCATGTACAGATACTACGACAAGCACATCAAAAGCCAGAGGGCGGGCCACAAGCTGGACATGTCACCGGACGGCGAGTAAGACGGTTCTTCCAAGGAAAAGCTATTTAAGCGTCGTGAGTTGGCAGGTGTGCCCAATTAGAATAACCACCAGTCTTCCTCAGTCTACGTGTACATGTACATGTACATCACTGATCTTCATAGTTATGCATGTGTATCGATGGCCATGCAGAGACAAACCAGGCCTATGCAGCTCGACTTTTTGCCCTCCAAAGATGGCCGCCACCATATTTGGTGCAGCCTGGCCCGCTGGATACGTCTGCAATTTTCCTCATTTTCAAGCAAATTTGTGCCATTCCTTAAAAATATTCAGGTGAAAGAGAACAAGATTGTCATTTCAATAGGCGTGGTTTAAATGAAAATAAACTATATCCAGACTGTGGCCTGTATATGTAGGATTCCTGTCTTGCTAGTACTGTGTGACTAAGAATTTGAGCCCATGTGAGAATTTATTTTGCTCTTGAGCATGTTATTGGCTCAGTGCATTGGACCTTCATGTTGTGACTTTCAGTCCTCAGTGTAAATGGACTTTCAGGTCAGTATGTGCAGATCAGTGATGTATGTGTACAATAGTCTGGTTCCTTGCCCTAGCTATCCCTAGCATCTCTCAGGCTAGGTCAAGTAACCACCGTGGGTAAAAAAAATCTATTTTTAGATGTGGTGCCGACATGACCATTTTTTTTTTTATTTGATAAAAGTTGTCTCAAAGTGGCAATAATTAAATGTATTTAGAAACAAGACAAGAAAATTAGAAAGTGAAATTTTCAGCATTTTTGGTGTAAAAGGTAATAAAAGATAAAAAGATAACAATTTTAGACATTTCCGAACCATGACATTGGTCAAAATCAGCATTAATTGGCTCTGAAATGTTCAGAAATTGGAGGAATTCTGTTTGTCATGGGAGTGTGTCAAGTCCCGGGGGAATCATTCTCTCACATTGGTCATAGTCTTGTGACCAGTCTTAAAAGAGTACTGACATAAAATATGTTCGCTCTACACTTCCTGGTTCAAAATGATGTTGCACTTTGGTGCTGTGACCAGATTACATGTGATAATTTGTATCACATGACTTTGAGGAAGAACGTAGACGTCCTTCACATATGTAGCTTTTGTGTTGATGTGAGAAGATTTTTATCACACCTGACTTGTAATTTGAAAAGGGATACACACTCACACAAGTGTGTATTAGCCTGCAACTGGGGACCCCCTATTGTTCCTCTTTTGTTTGTACTTTAAGTTTAACTTTTTTACAAGACCACCCATATGTTTTGTACACTGTTGTCAATCGGGGACCCTTTGTCAATCGGGGACCTTATTGTCCGCTATTGTTCAGGGTCCCCACCTGAATGCAGAAACAAACTCATGTACATGTACACCCACATGCGTGTCATTGAATTGACTTTGAACTATTTTTATTTGTTTGACTGGTACTTTGCTTTTACTCGTGGAAATTAAAGAATGTATTCTAAACTTACAAAAGAATGTGCCAACTGCAACAGGGACCAAAGGGAAATTGGCCTTAAATTTATGGAATGACCTTCATGTAAAAAGAGCAGAGTTTGAATTCTTTTACATGTATTGTCCCAGAATGTGCCTTGATAACAGAACCACCCTCTGAAGGTGGATCAGTAATGTTCACACAATCCACATCCGTCTCTCATTTTTGTCTTTGCCTGTACTGAAGTTTTTGGTAAACATGTTGACTGCCAACTGCACAAACCAAGCTGCTGTTGTCTTTGTTCTGACAGTGTCATCAGTGCATTTGAGTACCACAATTCAAAACCCGTGAGTGTGCTTGATTTACCATGACTACATGTACTCGTATGTATAGCAACGCGCTTATGTAGCCACTTGCCTTTAGGACAGGGAGGTATAATGCCAGACAAGCACTGTTTGCTTGTACCAAATTTACAAGCCCTCATTTATTTGGAAATGGAAATATGGCCCCAGATATCACTAACGGGTATCGGTTTCATAACCTTTGTTGCGAGTTGATAGGCAATTTCTAGCATTGTCTGGGAAAGGACAGGTGCTTGTACATGTAGCTACATTACATGTACATGTACTATATTTGTAGTCCCAGATGAAACCAGTTCTGGTGTACATGTACAGGCTCTGAAATACTACAAGTAGTCCCATAGTTGGCAGTCAGGATGTTAATATTTTTTATAGTAGTATCACAGAAGCTGTTACAGAGTATTTAGAGATTCCACATGGACTTGACAAGAAATAACCTTTTGTGGGTAATAATATTTAGTTTACAGTGAAAACGTATTTTTTGGATTAACATCAAAAATTTGGGTTTGAGGTTTGCACTTACTGAATATGCACTGAACACCGACTTTGCTGTTTTGTGTAGAAGTCACTTTCTGGTCTACTTCAACCACCAAAGGAGTTAGACTTGTACTTATCTTTTACATTGAAATTCGATTTTCATGACGTTGTTTTATATGTTTTATATTTTGGTGGAGGGATTTGAAAGATATCCAACATGTTCACTTGTACCTGTATTAGAGCCCTGCTTGTGATTATTCTGAAGTCTTGTACATGTAAACGCAGTGTGTATATATTGGCATATGGTGTGGGCAGTATGTAGGCCAGAGAGGTGTTCTAACTTTAAATTGAATGTTGGCTGTGACAAAAATCTTGGTTGCCTTTTTTTAGGAGAACACAAATGATGATTTTTCCTTCGAGGGGTAAAAAACAAAAACTTGCCATATTTCTGTTGTTCCACTTACTTGTAAACCGCTAATATTTGCAATGAATGACGAAATTTGACTTGAAATCGCTAATTGATTTGCAGCAGTTGCAATCCTCAGTTACCGGTCTGGTTTCTTGGCACAGAGGACCAAGTCTTTACATCTACATGTACTTATATTTCAAATTTTAAACTTGTCCAAAACTGTTTCATTCCAAAGTTTTTATGCACTGTTCACAAGGATTTTGTGTAAGTTTCACCATCTACTCGAACCTTTTGGATTTTCTATGTAACCTAATCTAATGACTGGCAGTAGCAAGATTTCATTGGTGATGAGCATGTGCCATGGGTGTTATTTCATTGGTTAAGCTTTGTATATGTACATTAGACTGGTGACCTTGCCCAATTTGAGGACTGACGGCAGCATCACAAAATTAATACACATACATTTGTGGTATGTACTGTGGTTGTTCCTCCCTGTTAATCTGATTGGTTGAGCTCAAAAGTACACTGTGCATTGAAAGCACTAGACATTGCATACATTGTTACATTGTTAACTTTGATTAAACTGGGTGGGTTGACTAGTGTTTCATTCTAGATATACAAAGATATACTGTCGCAAAAAGACAGTGTTTGCTACCAACCTTGTTGGGCAGGCCCAGAGTTGCTGGTTAGTCTGAGCATCATCAGAAAAGCTTAGATTTGCTCAAGTACAAGTTCAAAAATCCAGGCTGCCATCATCATGTAGGATTGACCTTCTTTATTTGTTCAATTTATTAGACGATGAGAATATGTAGAATATAAGACAAGGCAGGAAATTCAACTGGTTGATGGGAAATTACTGTATTTTCTGTTAGGTGTTTTTATACATGTGTGGTTTTTGGTGTGTGTGTACATGTTGGTACATAACATATGCACACTTACATGCATGTACATGTAGTTTGCATCATGTGCAGAGGAGTGGTGCTAGATGTGTCTCAGATACTTTTAGAGGGTAACCAGCTACTGGCATTAGCTCTCAGTATTGACAATCTGGGTTGTATCTGTGTTTGTTACCACTACATGTACTTTGAAAAAAAATTGCGTCCTATTTTTGGACATATGTACCAACAGGAGCTGGCGAAAAATGTGAAGTTTCTCTAACCATGCAAAATATTGAATGGATGATTGATATTTCCTTGGTGCATAATAAGGCCCCAATCATTGACAAAGAAATACAAGTGTCAAAGTTAGGCTTTGTCTAGTTTTACTGGGCTATGCCCAGCAATAACACACGTGACTGTTTTAAGAATAACAAAAGATGGCTTTATCATGTATATTGTACAATGTACATGGAACCAGTGGCCTCGAAATGCACGTTAGTTGCTTGGACCAGGGTTTGAACATTTTCAAATGGCATTCGTGGTTAACATCAAGTATGGCGTGGTATACAATACCAATAGTATTGAAACATGCCGTGTCTTGGAATGTACACGCGGTCTTTCACTTTGTTCAATGACAATAAGTACCGGGGGTAAGAATTATTCAGAGGTGCTTTGCGCCACCACCTGAAAAGTCTCCAGTTTAGTTTTGTATCAACAGCTTTGTCTATTTAAGCGCAAACAGCATTTTATCATTGAGGTATTTTTGTATAATGTACCTGTATAAACGTATGCATGTATTCAGGATTGAAGTAGTTTTTTTCGCTTCTTCCGGATTACGAAATCAAATAAATGGTCTGACATGATCGGTGTTCATTTCCGAATATGGTTTGGCTCATGTGCTATAATTATTGTCAGTCTTTGGTTTTGTCTTTTATATGTTGACCGCGGCAGGGTAAATAAGGCGAAGCTGGTTTATTGATAACGCTGACTGTACTTGACGATTTATTGTCCAGTGTTTTCCATCATTGCCGTATTTTTGTTAAACTATGGGGGGCCGTGAGTATAAAAGCAAAGTGGGATTGTACTAAGTGTCAGAATAAAATCTCCAAGCTTTCACAACACCAGAAAATTGACACTGGCGCCATATACCTGGCAAGATATGGGACGGAGGGTACCCCTACATGTCCAATCATTGTATACACTCTATTGTTACCTAACACCCGCCCTATGTCTGTAAAGAATTCCTGAGATTCCGATCAAACAGTCACCAACACCGGTGGGGGGTGCTCTCCGTCCCATATCCTGCTTCATATGGGTGCCAAACACTAGATGAAACTACGACTCTTCAAATGCAATAGGGCAAATTCATTTTTTTTTTAAAGTAAAATCTGACATCTAAAACAGGTGCCCACTAAGGGAAAGAGTTGGCAATGCGAGAGGGTCAATATTACACTTTTTGTTTTTCAGTGGCATGATGTTTTCAGTATGTTAATAAAAGTACCACCACCGACTACCTATTGCAAGATGTCTAGAAAAACAATGATGATAAAAAAGCCTAATAGGGTGAATTCGAGAGGGGGGCAAGGAGGGCCATGTTCGCCCCCCCACGCACACCCCCCCACACACACACACACAACGCGAGCCCGTTTTTAACTAAAGCAAGGCAATGTTATGTCACTTTCATTTACTGTCCTACAAGAGTAGTAGCGCATGATTAAATGCCCCGAAATGTTAGGAAATTATTTTGGGGGCTCCCCAAAAAGTTTGCTATATCCTCGGAAATTTGGTTTATCCCCCCCCCATAAAAAACTGCAACCTTGGCTTTGTTTATTGGAAGGTAGTTGCAAAGATTTTGAATCTGGCCGCCCGCAAATTCACGATTTGATTTCACATTTACATTCTGCCGATGAGAGGAGGATTACCATTAAACGGAAACGGTGCAAGAATATCTCACGTGGACGTGCCATACAAACCACCATAACAAAGGTGCTGTGAAATTTGTTGCAGACAGGATTGTAGGAAATCGATAGAAATCCATGAAGATGACACAATGAATCGTACGAGGTCTGAAGTCACGAGTGGACCGGACGAACCAACCTAATGCAGAAGGCTTAAAAATAAAAAGCAAATAATCCTTTTCCATTGCATAAAACAAAGGTCAAAAGTAAATTGGAAAGCATTTCCAAATAAACCAAAAGAAAAGAGCTTGGAAAAAAAATCGCGGAAAAAATCATATCTTAGCCCGGATTCGAACCGGAGTCACCCACAATAATAATGTTTACCCTAATTACCCGTTACTCCATACCAGGCTTTTAATAGCGCACTGTAGATACTTATTTGATCGGGTGCCAAACAACCCAGGCAATTTGGGTTCCCTGTGAGCTGAGACAATGCCAAGTATCACGCTCCAAGAGCGTGGTTATTTTTGGTAAAAGTTTTATTTTAATGCAAATCAGCTCCTTGAACGCTCTCTCCTATGTTCGGTTTGTCCAATCAAATTGGCGGGATTAACGCGCCGAAGTCGCGTCCTTTCCTGGCACCGACCGATTAACGAACAGACTACTAATACGTCGTATCATTTTTGCACTGACTGCCTCGAAATTAGGGCCTTGAAATGATCCCTAAATAACATCATCGTTATTTTTTTCTAGGAAATGGGGAAAATTACACAAAATAACCGCAATCGCACTTCACCTGTGAAAAACAAAAGATAAGAACAAGTGAAATTAGAGTGTTTTAATATTTTGGTGCGGAGAAATATCTGAGAGTGGTCAGTCTGGTATGGCAGGAAACGCGGACGGAGACTCCTCACTTTTTAGTACGCAGTCAGATTTCGAGAGGAGAGATTTTTGTAACCCACAATGCCGAATTTATTCCCAAGATTGGTGAAATGTACTTTTAGAGTGGACAGCTCAACGTCTGTAGAAATTGCCTTTACCGTTTGACCGAAGTGTGGACTGAGTTTTTAGTGATTTTGGACCACACCACCGGGAGAAATCAGGCGGTCTTTGGAGGGAGAAATCCACGAAGGCTTCGGCCCAATGCACCATGCGTTGGCATTGGCCTGTCTCCACGGCTAAGCCGGGGCCCCCGCCCGAGTCTGCGGCCAAGACATCTCTGGATCATGTTGACGGATGTTGAATTCGACTTCAGGCACAATAGTCCCTTAAGCGACCAAGAATGGAGATGGACTTTTTGAACTTGTGAGAAACTAAACTTATGCGGCCCGATGAAAAGCAAAGGTAAACTGAACTTTTAACAAATGTGTTTCCAATTCTGTTTGTCGGATGATCTGAGGATTGGTGTTCGTTTTTTGGACAACGATCTTTTCAAGGAACCAAGAATGATGCTGGACATTCGTGAACTTTTGAGAAACTGAACTTGAGGGCCTATGGCCCACTGAAAAATGTGAACTGAACTTTTAGAAATGTTTGAAATTGTGTTATTTTGTCGAATGATCTGAGGATCGATGTTCGTCGTTGGCACAACGGTCCATCAAGGAACGAAGAATTAAGCTAGACATTTGTGAACTTGTCAGAAACTGCACATTTTGTGAACTTGTGAAAAACTGAACCCGTAACATAATGAAAAAAAGGACACCGAACTTTTAAATGTGATTAGAATTGTGTGTTATTTTGTCGAATGATCTGAGGATTGATGTACTTCGTTTGCACAATGGTCCATCAAGGAACAAAGAATTAAGCTAGACATTTGTGAACTTGTCAGAAACTGCACATTTTGTGAACTTGTGAAAAACTGAACCCGTAACATAATGAAAAAAGGACACCGAACTTTTAAATGTGATTAGAATTGTGTGTTATTTTGTCAAATGATCTGAGGATTGATGTACTTCGTCGGCACAAGGGTCCCTCAAGGAACGAAGAATCAAGCTGGATATTTGTGAACTTGTCAGAAACTACACATTTTGTGACCTTGTGAAAAACTGAACTCATGACATAATGAAAAAAATACACTGAACTTTTTAATGTGATTGAAATTGTGTGTTATTTTGTCGAATGATCTGATAATTGATGTACTTCGTTGGCGCAACGATGCCTCAAGGAACGAAGAGTCGAGCTGGACATTTGTGAACTTGTCAGAATCTGCACATTTTGTGACCTTGTGAAAAACTGAACTCATGACATAATGAAAAAAAGTACACTGAACCTTTAAATGTGATTGAAATTGTGTGTTATTTTGTCGAATGATCTGAGAATTGATGTACTTCGTTGGCACAACGGTCCCTCAAGGAACGAAGAATCGAGCTGGACATTTGTGAACTTGTGAAAAACTAAACTCTAGGGCCTATGGCCCACTGGAAAAAGTGAACTGAACTTCTAGTAATGTGTTTGAAATTGTGTGTTTATGTCGAATGACCTGAGGATTGATGTAAGTCGTTACCACAATAGTCCTTCAAGGAACGAGGAATCAAGATGGACATTTGTGAACTTGTGAAAAACTGAACCCAATGAAAACAGTGAACTGAACTCTTAAATGCGATTGCAATAGTGTGTTATTTTGTCGAATGATCTGATTGACGATTTGGACTCGTACCAAGCACCGTGGTGAGTTTGATGTTTAATTTGCCTAAAGATCAGACCCCGAGGTAGGTGGTATTGAATTATATGACCGTAGTCGGGTAGTTTTGTCTTGAAGAAATTTCCAAATGTGTCAAACAGGACAAAATGCAAATATCCTTCACGGTTTTCTAAAATGACGAAGCAAATCCTTGAAAATTTGGTCAAAAGAACGTATCTTCGAAACATCTCTGTACGGTATATTTAAGTGCTCTTTTTGTTTGCACGAAACGTATCCTATTCGGCCTTTTGTGCGTAACCCAAATTCCGGACGAAAACAATCAGAATGAGACGAGCGGTCCAACGGTGTTGAAATTTGTTTATGAATGAAACGAGCGCGGTCCTTCATGAAGTTGAATGGCGCGGTATGTGACCAGGTGCAACGTGCTGGCTTCGAACTGTCAACAACTCCAGGGCTTAAGATAAATGGACAAACTGCAGAGGGCTCTAATGATTTTCGAAGTAGACTTAATTTTTTTTCTCAGTCTTGGAATTCCTTCCATAGCTTATGAGTTTACAAGGATTAAAAAGGAAAATTAACATTAACAGTGATTTCAATATGTTTATATAGTATATGTATAAGAATATTAGAATAGCCTCACTGTTGTAAATTGGTTCATTAAAGTTGTAAGTTCAGGGGAAAGCGACAGGACTAATGTTCATCTACTGAAATATGTGTAAAGTATTAGGATCAAAAGACAACGGCGGGACCGTTGTCCGGTTGAATGTGTGTAACCTTAAAAAATCCAACGAAAATTGCTTGAAAGATGCATTAATCGCAAACATGGACGACGGCGAGACTGTTGTCCCAGTGGATTATGCATTGAAAGAAAGAAGGTGGAACTGTTTTCTAACAATAGAATTATGAATAATTTATGGAGACAAAAGGACGACGGCGGGTCTGTTGTCCAAGTGGATTATGCATTGAAAGAAAGAAGGTGGAACTGTTATCCAACAATTGAATTATGAATAATT